GTCGCAAACCACTCTCGAAGCTTCTAGCCGCGTGTAATCCCTGTTGAGAATTCCATTGTTCCAGTCACTGGAACTGCAAGGAGCACAACTGCATAAGCCGTAAGTTTTCTTGTCGCCTTACTCTGTGGATTTCGTTCTTTCTAACTTATGAGTGCCTGTTGCATACTTGCATGTTTAACTCATCCCCTATTTTGTGATTTCTGTAGAGTTGCAGGGTTACTGACTGCCCTGTTTCATTGATCATTAACTAATCACGAAGGTAATTTAGTCGATTCTACAGTCTGGAGTCTTATTAGTACTAGTCATTAGTTCTTAGTTTCAGTTGATTTAACCTTAGTTGTTTTCTTTTTCCTGATTGATGAACAGGTGAGGCAATGGAAGGTGTTGAATTCAGCAACTCTCCCAACTCTCAATCCACACCCCCACTCATCAACCCTGAACCCGAGCAGCAGCAACCATTGATTGCTGGTGATGCACCAGCAGCTGCTGTGAATGATGGTAATGTAGTGACTGCTGCTGGTGATGCACCAGTCAATGATGGTGAGCCTTATCCACTTCCATTTGGGGCCAAACGTCCATTAAAAAGCGATGTTTGGCCTCACTTTACTAGGTTTGTTGATAAGTCTGGTGTGATGAAAGCTAAGTGCAAATATTGTCGTAAGATTCTTGGTGGTGATACTAGCAATGGTACCTCTCATTTGAGGAATCATAAAAAAGTATGTGTTCAAAAACATATTCATGATGGCCATCAGAAAAATATTTCCACTAATTTCCTTCCAAATGGTGTTCTTGGGAGGAAAGAAATATGCACTGGTCAGTTTAATGCAGAGGTTTCTAGGAAGGAACTAGTTACTATGATTTTGATGCATGAGTATCCACTCAGTATGGTGGATCACTTGTAATTCAAAATATTTTGCAATTCTCTGCAACCCTTGTTCAAAGTTCCTTGTAGAAACACTTGTAAGAGTGACATTCTTGGTATGTATGGGATTGAGAGGAAAAAGATGCAAAAGTTGATTGATGGTAACAAAGGTCGAATTGCTGTCACTACTGACATGTGGACAGCAGGTAATCAAAAGAGAGCATACATGGCTGTAACTGCTCATTATGTTGACAATCAGTGGAACCTTAGGAGCCACTTGCTAAGGTATATGACATATTGGCTGTTTGAATCTTTCATTTTTTGTGTTTAACAATAACCACTAACTAATGGATGGTTCTGCCTTTTGTTTGATGTTGTGTATCACAGGTTTCTCTACGTTCCTGCTCCTCATACTAGTGAGAAATTAGCAAGTGTGCTTCGAGAGGCCCTCATGTCCTTGAATGTGGATTGTATGTTATCCACTATCACTCTTGATAATTGTTCTACAAATGATTCCATGATTGATAAGATTAAGAGAAAGATGGTTCTTTCTGACTTCATAATGAATGGTTCATTGCTACAAATGAGATGCTCTGGTCATATTCTCAACTTAATTGTGAAAGATGGGCTTGAAATTATCAAAGATGAGATTGAAAAGATTAGGGAAAGTGTGGTATATTGGACTGCAACTCCAAGGAGAGTTGAGTTCTTTGATGATACTGCTAAGCAAAAAGATGTTGGTATTTCTACCAAACTTGCACTAGACTGCCCTACTAGGTGGAACTCAACACTCACTATGCTTGAATCTGTCATTCCTTACAAGGATGTGTTCACTCGTTTGAGTCAGAGAGAACCTAATTATACTTCTTTGCCTAGCAGTGATGATTGGAAGTTTGCCACTGTGATCTCTAAAAAACTGGAGGTTTTCAAAAAACTTTCGGATCTGTTTTCTGGAAGCAATTATCCTACTGCTAATTTGTTCTTTCCTAAGATCTGTGACTTGAAATTCGAACTAAATGAGTGGAGATATGGTCCTGATGAGATCATTGGTGCAATGGCTGAAAAAATGTGGATCAAGTTCAGCAAATACTGGACTGATATTCATGTGTTGCTTACTGTGGCTGTTGTGCTTGATCCTGCATACAAGCTTGAGTTGATTGGGTACTATTATGAAAAGTTTTAAAGCCTTGATCCTACTCTTGACCCTGCCACTGTTAAGACCACTGTTTATAATGTGGTACGTGAGTATCAGTTGAAACAGAGGGCTAGGGATGATCTTTCTGCCTCCTCTGCTTCTGGAAATGGTCTTGTTGTGCCTACTTCTAGTGACCTTGTCTTTGAGCTTTATCTAAGCTGAAGGAAAAGGTCTAAAACAACTTCATTGTGCTCTGAATTGGACCATTATCTGAGTGAGGGTGTCAGTCCTCGAGCTCCTAATGTTGGTGTTTTGGATTGGTGGAGGGTGAATGCTGGAAAATACCCTCTGTTGCAAGAGGTAGCAAGAGTTTTGCTTTCTGTACCAGTGACCTCTGTGGCCTCAGAATCAGCCTTCAGCTTCGGTGGTAGGCTGTTGGATCCTCATCGGAGTAGGCTGCACTTTGAAACTGTTGAGGCAATCATGTGCACCCGTACCTGGATTAAGGATGATATTAGCAAAGGTAAGGGTTTATTTAATTGTTTCCAGCTCTGTTTGTGGTTGAATGTGAAATTAACTAACTCAATTCTCCTTTCTTTTGTCTGCAGATGCTGGAAAGGAGGGGATTAACGGATTGGATAGCTGTTTTTCTGCATTGACAATGGAGGATCCCAGTTGTGAAGACTTTAAGAAAGGAGATTAGTGAATACTGAACAATTAGTTAGTAATTTCAATTTTAAAGATGGTGAATACTGAACAAATATGTATGTGGTCACAGATTTTCAAGATCGTGCACTCCTGGACTTTGATGCTTGAAGATCAAGCATGTGACTGTTGCTGCTGAGTGCTTGTTGCTGCTGCTCTGGAGAGACTTGCTGCTGTTGCCTGCTGGAGAGTTGAGACTGGAGAGTTGCTGTTGCTGCCTGCTGGAGAGTTGTTGCTGCCTACTGCTGGAGAGTTGCTGTTGTTTAATGTTGAGCTTGATGGCTCATTTTCTTTAAGTTTGCCTTGCTGCACTTTGGTGGATTTAAGTTTTTGAACTTGCTACTCTGTTTTATTGCTTGGATTGAAGTTTATGAACTTCAAACTATGAATTGGATGCCTTTTGCCTTGATCCTTTTGGATTTGTTTAGACAGTTCGGATTTTGGAAGATTAGAGTTGGAGTGCCATTTGATTTTTCTATAAGAATTTCCAGGTTGCATCCCTTGAATTTTGTTTGTTTTGTTTTGTTGAGTTGTTTTTTTTTTTCCCAGTCTGACAATGGTAGCGGGTATACCCGATAAACCCGATTGGAGCCCGCTACCCGATGGATTCGGGGTTGGGCCTGAAAATGAGCCCGGGAAGGCTAGTGGGGCGGATTCGGGGAAAGCCCGACAGGCTTTCGGGTGGGTGACGGATAACCCTTCCCCGGCCCCGATCCGACCCGTTGCCAAGCCTACTTCAAAAGATTTGTGGGTTATATTGGAAGGGTTTTGGTTTGCTTTGGAAATATTTGTGGTTTGTTTTGCGGTGTTTCTGGTATGCTTAATGAGATTTGTGGTTTGTATTAGGAGATTTTAGTTTGCTTTAAAAAAAATTGTGGTTTGTTTTGCGGTGTTTCTAGTTTGCTTAGTGAGATTAATGGATTGCATTAGGAGGTTTTTAGTTTGCTTTAAAAATATTTGTTGTATGCTTTGTGGTGTTTCTAGAGATTTGTTGTCTGCATTAAGAGGTTTTTGGTGTCTCATAAAGCACACCATAAATACGAGAAAACAAATCACACTACAAAATCCTACAAAGCATACCATAAACATGAGAAACTAAACCACAATTCTCATAAAGTATACCACACCTTAAATACAATAAAACAAACCACAAATATCATAATGCTTACAAAAAAACGGAAAAAAACAAACCACAAAAAGTAGATAAAAAACACTAGAAAACATACCATAAATGTCTTAAAACAAAAAATCACAAATCTTACAATACATACCACAAGATTCCGGTAACTAGTAATCGATGATTGAACTCCCGCAACCGAAAACCATTATATCATAGGCACAACATTTTCAAGTGCATGACATTACCATTTGATATCAACAAGTTATTTTAACAAAACAAAAACTTCACCTTCCAACTTATTGGTTGGCTAGAAAATAAGCTGTAAATTTATACAAATTTTTGTTTACCAATCCATGGTGGTTTACGTTAGATTTATTCTCCACAAACGGAATTGGATTTATTGTTGCCCAATTTTATTTACTCTACCCCTTTAAAATTGAAATTCATCTTTAAGTTACGACTTACGTAGAGGCTAGAGGGGTAGAGCTACCTGCAAGCATAAAACCCTCGCTTTTTTTTTTTTTGTGGAAATCGCTTGCTTTTCAATTAGGCCAATAATAATTAGTATTTATAGAAAAAATTAAATGAAACTTGGTGCTGCACGAAGGAACACGCCGCATGCAGACTGTTTTTAGTGACTATTATGCCCTTTCAGTGATTTATATTAAGGTCAACCTATTTAATAAAAAGTCATCACAATCCTACCTTTCTATTGGTTGGAGATTAGTGTTGTCACCCTAAGAACAAAATAGATGTTGTTATACTAACTATTCCCTTGAGTTGGAAAGTAAAAGTCTCCATAGGGTGAAATTGAATTATTAATTTTTGTAATTTAATTAATTTTTATTGAATTATTAATATGATAAATCATATAGATAAAGTAAGTGAGATGATGAGGTGGAAAATTAATTTTTTTTTATTTTTTTTTCTACTTCATCTATTTAAGGATAAAATTTTAAAGTTGACTGTCACGTAGGATAAATTTAATGAAGTGTAACGACCGTTGATCAACGGTAAAATAATTCGTAAAGTTAATGGAGAATAAGAAAGAAAAGTAATTCGGGTGATAAACGTGAAAGATTTGTATAATTTAATTTGTATAATTTGAGTGAACAAACTTAATTTAGCAGGTAGAATACCTTTCTCGCCACATTTCTTTCCAAAACAGTACAAAAAGTTAAACATTCACTGTTTTATTGATTCCTTCAAAACCCTAAACCCTTGAATCCACACCGCAGATAAACAGAAATCACTCAACGCTGACACTAATCACGTCCTTCCGCTCCTCCTCCTTCACCTTTGGCACCGTCACCTTCAGCACCCCGTTCTTCATCTCCGCCTTCACCTGATCCGTCCTGTACATCTTCTCCGGCAGATCGATCCTGCTCGAGTACCTCCCCGCGCTCTCCTTCTCGTCCGATTCCTTCCCTCCTTCGCCCCTGATCACCAGGGTGTTCTGCTCCACCGACACCTTCACGTCTTCTTTCCCCAGCCCCGGCATGTCCACGCGCAGCTGCAGACCTTCCTCCGTCTCGCGAGCGTCCCAGCCCCGTCGGACTCCACCTCCGACGTTGCGTGCCGGAGAGAGCAGGGGGTTCTCCATGAATTGGTCCATCAGGTTCAGCACCTGACTCAAGCTCCTCGTCGGAGAGAACGGATCGAACACCTCTGCAATTTCCCACAACATATCCAATTAAGCACAATTTTCGTTTTGATGAAGAAAAACAGGACGAATTTGGGGAAAACTCTAGCGAGGATCCAGAAGACGACTACCTGAGAGGAAATCGTCGCGGCTGCGTGGAAACGGGCGACGAGAGCGACGATCGACATCCATCTGGCGCTCGTCACCGTCTTCGTCGTAATCGCGTACGGCGTTGGTGTTGAAGAGGCGGGAGGCAGACGGAGCGGCGACTCCCATCGGGCGAACCATACGCAGGGAGCTGGGAAGCAGGGATGAGGAGACGAGCTTCTTCAGAGCAAGTGAGGACGCCATTGTTATGAGCTTCTACTGGTACAGCAAATTCTAGAGAAGGGAATCGTTTGAGATTTTTTCCCGATGACTAACGCCTTGAATAAGAAATCTGAGATGGAATTTATAGGGGCATTTCGAAGGTGCTGGACACGGTGGACAGAAGAGTGAGAAAGTGCTGGAAATCATGTGAGTGGTGGATAATTCTAGATGAATGAAGTTTCTTGTCTTTTTTTTTTGTCAAAAGATATCATATATTGATCATAACAGAAGATAGTTACACCCTGGAAACCAGCCAGGTCTGGAAATCAAAGAAGCGACTCATAGTCGGATACAAAGAGAGGGCTTTCCTAGCTACCAAATGAGCTACCCTATTGTTCTCCCGACCTACAAAACACACACTAAAGCCAGACTGAGCACGAAAATAAAGAACAATCTCTTCAAGCACAGCACCCAACCGGCTATCTCTTGTGTCGGCCTTGTTAATTTTGTCAATAATCACCTTAGCATCGCCCTCAAGTCGGACTGCCGACAAACCTTGCTCCATACACCAAATAATAGCCTCGCGAAGTACAAGCAATTCCACCACTGCAGGATCGTCTATTTGAGCAAACTGGATTCCCCTAACCATTAGCAGTGTCCTCCCAGGACCAAAAAGAACCAGCCCACCCGCCGAATGAGACCCCCCCTTCGTAGCCCCGTCCCACATACAGACCAAATGGGAATCATCCAATTGTTTTGCAGATCGCAATATCGGGGCATGGGCCCTAGGCGCCTGGTCCACCGGTATCCCCATCCATTCCTCATACTGCTGATTAAACTGACGCATGAGGGCTGGGATCTCAAATTGCTTGCCTTCATAGACCACCCAATTCCGAGATCGCCAGATCCTCCAAAGGATGGCAACAACAGCCATAACCACCAACGGGTGCTGGATCAAACCCAACAGACGCTAAAGAAAGAAAGGAAAAGTCTGCCAAGGCATACCCTCTCCCAAGTACTCCAGCCCAGAATAGTCCCAGAGAGCACGCGCCACTGGACAATAAAGGAACATGTGTTCCATTGTTTCCGGGCCATCCCAACAGACTGGGCACCGAGGTAGCACCTGGACCTTTTTCTCAATAAGCGCTTCCATAGTCGGCAGAGCCCGATTAAGAATTTGCCAAACAAAAACCTTCAACTTCGGAGGGATTTTTGCCTCCCAAACTCTAATCCAACTCTGCTTATCCATCCAGCTAACTGAGGAACGCCACCCCTCCCTTCTTCTGTCCAAATTTACAGCCAAATGATAGGTCGTCTTTACCGAGAAGACCCCGTAGGCCGTACCATGCAAGATGAGCTTATCCGGTATATCCCGCCGCGGGAGGGGAATAGCTTTAATAGCCTTACAGGTTGGAGGGTCAAACCATTGACTAAGCATTTCATCAGACCACCGCCCTCCCCCCTCACTAATAACCTCCGCCACCAAGGGATCGTCCCCCCTCAGGCAAGACCCGCGGATTATAGGAAGGAGGATCCAGCTGATACCCAGGAATCCAGTTAGACTGGAGAAGCGAGATCGATTGACCATTGCCAACCTGCCATCTCAACCCTCTTTCCAATAACTGACGCCCATGAAGGATACTTTGCCACCCCCATGAGGGCCGAGATCTAGCGGTCACAGTCAGAAAAGACCCTTGAGGGAAACACTTGCCTTTATAGACCTGATCAATAAGTGATTGAGGTTCGTTGAGGATACGCCAGCCTATCTTAGCTAAAAGAGCTTGATTGAAGTGTTCGAACTGGCGAAATCCCATCCCCCCATCATGCTTACTCCTGCACATGTTACGCCAGGATACCCATCTAATCTTAGGATGCCCATCCTCCGCACCCCACCAAAACCGGGCCACATGCTTATCCAAAAGGCGACAAAGAGCCAGGGGAAGCCGGAAGCAGGACATAGCATAGAGTGGAAGAGCCAACGCTATGGATTTAATTAATGTTTCCTTAGCAGCCCAAGACAAAGTCCGTTGCTTCCACCCCTGAGTCCGCTCTAAAAGTTTATCCTCCAAATATCTGAATGTAGCCGTTTTAGACCGGGCAACCAGCGTTGGAAGCCCCCAGATATTTATCATGGACCCCCACTACACCAACCCCTAGAATCGTGGCCAAGAAATCTTGATCAGGCGAGGAAATATTCTTACTAAAACACACCGCCGATTTATCCAAATTAACGCGTTGACCACTCAGTTCCTCATACTCATTCAACACCTCAATCAAATTCTCGCACTCCTGCAAAGAACCATGCAAGAAAAAATAAGAATCATCTGCGAAGAATAGGTGCGAGATTCTTGGAGCACGAGGAGCAACTTTCACCCCCTCCAGCTTTTTCTTCGTTATCGCCTGCCGGATTAGGGCTGCAAACCCTTCCGTGCAGAGAACAAACAAGAGAGGCGAGAGCGGATCTCCCTGGCGAAGACCCCGAGAGGCCGTGAAAAATCCCGAGGGTGTACCATTCATGAGAACCGAGAAAGAGGCAGATCGAAGACATTCATGTATCCATCCTTGCCAGACAAAACTAAAACCCATCTTATCCAAAACAGCAAGCAAGAAAGGCCATTCGACTCTATCATAGGCCTTTTCCATGTCAACCTTCAGAGCCATGTACCCCTTCTTCCCTTGCGTTTTTATTTTCAGGTAGTGCATTAGTTCATGTCCTATAAGGATATTATCAATGATCTGGCGATCCCTGATAAAGCCATTTTGTCCCTCCGACACGATCAGCGGGAGCATGCTAGCCAGTCGTTCCGCCATGATCTTGGTAATTACTTTGTAAACGAACTGACAAAGACTAATCGGGCGCAATTGTCTAATTGTTTCCACCGATTCCACTTTAGGGATCAAAGTGAGCCAGGTATGATTAAAGCTCCGCAACAACCGACCCGAAGTAAAGAAGGAGATTACTGCTTCACCAACCGAAGTGCCCACTATATCCCAGAAAGCTTTAAAGAACTTCCCTGTGAAGCCGTCCGATCCCGGGGCCTGTTTCGAACCCATGGAAAAGACCGTACTCCGGACCTCACTAGGCAAGACCTCTGCCGTCGGTTGAGCATTCATTTGAGGAGTAACCGTACGGGCTATTGGCAGATTTGCCACCCTCTCAGTCATATTAGGAACCTGCGTTTCCGAAGTAAACAAAGTCTGACAAAAAGTGGTGGCAATAGAAGCCTTCCCGGTTTCCTCAGTGACCCATTCACCCTCCTCATTCCGAAGACCAGTAACGAAATTTCTCTTCCTCCGAGCCCTAGTAACCGTATGGAAATAGGACGAATTTTTATCTCCTTTTTTTAACCATTTAACTCTGGACTTCTGCTGCCAGAACACCTCCTCTGCTTCCCACTGACGGGAGAGCTCCATCTCCAGTGTCCTGATCTCTTCCCAATGAACTGGGTGGATCGACTTTACCCTATCAATCTCAGCCTGGAGCGTTTTAATATTACGCAGGGAATTAGTTGTGCCCGCTCTACTCCAATCATATAACAGATGACGGAGTTTCTTTAGCCTTTCCCACAGTCTAAACATAGGGGTGCCTTGGATTTCTTCCTGCCAGACATAGTTGACCATGGCCCTAACCTCCGGATTATCCGCCCAACGGGCATCAAAAAGGAAAAGAGGTCGACTTGTCCGAACAAAAGGTTTATCAGCCAGCAAAAGGGCACAATGATCTGAACCCTGGTCAGTGAAATGTTTGACTATCGTCTCTGGGTATGTATCCATCCAAGACTGAGAGCAAACCGCTCTATCCAGACGAGCACGAATGCAAGCGTCGCCCATGCACTTATTAGTCCAAGTAAATGGATCACCTTGGTAACCAGGATCGTGGAGACCCAAATCATGAATAAATTCACGGAGACTAAGAGCTTGGGCAACATTCCAATCCCAACCCCCATCTTTTTCACCCTCATTCAGAGTAGCATTGAAATCACCTATGACCACATAAGGGTGATTAAAAGTCACACAAACGGCACGTAATTGGGTCAATTGGGAAGCACGAACAGCACTATTACAACTAATATAAACGAAAACCACAACATAAGAAAAATCTCCTTCATTAATTTGCGAACAAATATAAAAATTTGAATGACAAAGCACCAAAGTGTCAACTCCGGGGGCCCAAGCAACTACTAAACCTCCTGATGCATCGACTGCATCTACAAAAAAACAATGGGAAAAATCAAAACCTAGACCCCGCATACGCCGGGACACTACACGCCGGCTCGATCGTGTCTCAGAGAAAAACACGAGATCCGGTTTATTGGAATGAACAAGCCCTAAAGCAGACTGGAACGTGAGGGACGGCCCAATTCCTCTCACATTCCAGGCGAGAAGCCTCATTTATCTTCTGGGGGCCACTCAAGGCTGGCTTCCTCCACCTTTTCCAGATCCTCAATCGCTTCCACAAACTGCTTCTTTGGAGTAGGAGGGTTCCCCACATCCCCTTCCAATTCATCCAGCACGCGCTTCCGATACTCCATGATAGGGTCCATCAAATTAGAGCCATATTCATCCAGCCCTGAACCCCTCTCCATGACCCCCCCCCCCCCCATCCTCCTCTCTTGCAATAACTAGGCCAGCTTCAAAAGCCTCCACCACCTGGTGCACACGCCCTTTTATGGTATGGCAAATTTTTCTGGTGGCCGCAGCTGGCGATCTTCGCTTAATCTCAAAGGAATGCTGATCCTCAGCTGTCGGATCCTCTTCAGATTCAAAGTCCTGCTGGTGCTCTAGAGCAGTAGACTTTTCCCCTGTATCCACAGATTCCTTATCTTCCAAGCCAAGCAGATCTCCAGAAGGAGAAGAGCCCCCCTCCCTGTGAGCCGATAGAGGAGGACAATCTGCCCCTCTCTTACGGAGACGAGGGCGAGCCCTGGGAATCGTGTCAAGATCCTCTGCCAGACCAGCAGGGGTACGCTGCTTCAAAGAAGGACGACTTCCACCCACCATAATCTCCTCCTCTTCCTCCTCAGATTCCTCTTGTAAAATCAGCCTGCGCCTCCTTGAATGCTCAAAAGCTTCCGCCATTTGCCCTACTACCTGCTGGCAGTGCTCAGTCTGCTTGGCCCGCCGGCTAGGCTGCCGGCGCACCTTAGTGCCCTGTCGAGGAGGTGGGACCACCTTCCTGGGTGACGCCTTCTTCTGATGTTGTCGAATATTTCCAGCAATCTTAACCCAAGGAGATGTCTTAACGACCAAACGTTGGGGACTAGCCCGACCCCCAAAGGAGGTTTGAGCAGGGGTCTGCTGCCTGTTCTGTACCACTCTCTTCTTTTGAGTTTCCGACCCTCTTGGGGCAGGATGCAACGCCGCCTGGGAAAGAGGGCGGGTATTAGTGCCCAGGTCTCTGCTAGCCGCCTTCTCCTTCCCATCTTTGATCAAATGAGTATTCTTATTCACCCACACTGATCTGCTGGCATTGCGAAACTGAGGGTATTCTTCATCCTCCCTGTAAATCTTCCTTCTCGGTTTCCGAGTAGACATGTGCGACCCAAACCGTTCCTGGCCAGAAGGGGGGCCAAAAACACACTCCGGCTTTGAATGCCCTACTCGACCACAGTGGTAGCAGAAGGTTGGCAAAAACTCGTATTTGAGATGTACCCAGAATCGACCAATCTTTTCACTAGCTGCCACAAACTGAGACCTCAAAGGCTTGGCAAAATCAATTAAAGCATGGACCTTCACAAAGCGTTCCTCAGAGTCTTTGGCCGCAAAGACATCAGACTCCAAGATTTGACCAATCATCCCCGCTGCCACTTTCCAGCCAAACTGCGCCGTGCAACAGTCTTCTTTTACATTCCATAGCTGCACATGGAAAGGAGCAATGGCCAAATCATCAAAAATAGGCCTTGTGATAGAGGACGTCCAGGACCGAAGATGTAGAATCCTGTCCTTAATAATCCATGGAGATCTTTTTAGCAGCCAAACCCGCATCTCATCACTTGGGAGAATAATTTCAAATAGCCCAAATTTCGTGACCGATACCCGAAGGTTTCCTTGCACCCGCCAAACCTCAAGCAGGCCCTCCCTCAATTCATTGGCAGTGAAAATGGTTTCCGAAAAAAGTCTCCCCAAGAGAGTCCTCGAAGTTCGGAATTTCACGGATTGCACTTCATCGAGTGAAAATTCAACCACTTGATTTTCCGCTACACGAGCCATTGTAGTCACCTGCCACAAAGGAGTAGAAATTTGATTAGAGTCAACTAGCTCTTTCTTAAACGGACTATTTTCCAAAATCGGACTATGAACATGCCACAATGGAAAACATGTAGTTGGGCTTTGCCCAATTAATTTAAACAAACAGGCTACTGGGTCGGCCCTGCTGTTCTCGAGGCCCAAAAGAGATCTCTGTGGGCTGGCACTAAAGGCAACAGCCTGGCCTTGAACGCTTGGGCCACTACAGGCCGGCCCAACCCTCAACAGCGGCCAGACTTTATCCGCTTCGCCTCCCCCGCGGTTACCAGACAGCGCAGCTGGTTCAAGGTCTGACGACATCGCCGAAAGCAGGGGTTTGCTCCCCGACGCGGCAGAGGGCTTCTCCGAAACAGGGAAGCTAAACTGCGCCCTCGCAGCGCCCGGCCAGGATGTATGGGCACCCGTCGAAACGGGGAGGAAGGAGCGATTCGCCAACTTATAGGGAGGTGTATGAATTAGGGAGAGAGAATCAATACCTCGTTGACTTCTTGGAGCACAGAGCAGGTGATCGGACTTTCCTTTACTTTCCTCGCCAGTCAACCCAATGCGTCGAGACGTTAGTCGAAGTGAGGAAGCAGGGAGGGGAGAGGTCCATTTAAATAGACCAGAGTCCGAATTCTCCAGCAAAAAGGAGACTCCTCTGATTCGATTTTCAGTTAGAAAACGTGTTGGGTTAGGACTCAAAATCCTGGGGTTAGGATTCGATTTGGATCGGAACAGAGCTCCGTCAATCTCGCCCACCCCTGCGAAACAATCGCCCGAAAATCCTAATTTTTCCCCTTTCCGCAACTGATACCCCCTCCGCCAGCAGTCACCGGTGCCACCGCCAGACCAGCCAACCAGGTCCCTACCGGCGGCAAAAGAAGAGGGGTTTTTGGGCTGGATGTCCACCTTCATATTACTTTTCAGGACTTCACAGTGTCCCTCCCCGAAGGGATCAATTTTAAACACATCTGCATCCGAATTTGCAGTTGAATCAACACAGGATACAGGAGCTTTTTTCTCGATTCCCACTAACACTGGCACATCGAGATCAATCCCCGCCCCCTCCCCGAAGGGACCAGAAGTGTTGAGTTGATGGTAATTTCGATCACAAATCAAAGAATCTTTCATTGGGCGCCCATATTTGCGTTATTCACGCTATATTGACGTTATTCACGTAAGAGTGTTGCTTATTCACACAACCAATGTTGTTTAGTCACGCAACCTGGTATTTATTCACGCATATTGTTATTTATTCACGTCATTATAAAATTAAATTTTAGACGTTAAAATATATCAAAATGGATGTCATGGTGTAGATTATGATCAATGCAACATATTTTTACAGACTAATTGAGAATCCAAATTTAACTCCATAAAATATAGCCAATACAAATTATTAGGGGGAAAAGTCTGATTTTTCATTTACGTGAATAACTTACACTCTTACGTGAATAAACATAGTATTACGTGAATACACACGAAATGGCATTAATGAATACAAAAATACGTGAATAAATTTGCATTAGGTATTTTGTGACCTAACGTGACAAGAGATGTTTTTCGTTCTAGATTTGCCACCTCAGCAGGTCCTGCTTGCTTCCCAAGAATTGGTAAACTACACTGTAGTACCTTTAGTTTCCAGACTCATTATTAGCCCCTTCAACTTTATGAATTACTTTATTAATCCATATAATATTATCATACCATAGATTAGCACATATACTTTCAAAAATAACTTTTAACTCATAAGATTTTGTGGAGATCATAACACAATTTTGGCAGACTGGCAGTTGTTCTTCGAGCAACCGTTAATGAAATTTGCTCTGCACAGTGAGGGACTGAGGAAGTTTGTAGCGGAATCCTGATGAGACGGAGGTAAAGTAATCAGAACTCAGCCGGGAAGATGATGCTGGATCTAGGTCCGTTCTCCGACGAGAAATTCGACCCGAAGAAATGGATCAACGCCGCTTGCCAGACCCGGCACCCGCAGGAATCCCTCGACGACCACCTCGTCGATATGGAAATGAAGCTGCAGATGATGTCCGAGGAGATTGCGGCGTCGCTCGAGGAGCAGAGCGCTGCCGCGCTCCTCCGCGTCCCTCGCGCTACTCGTGATGTTGTTCGCCTCCGTGATGATGCCGTTTCGCTTCGTAGCTCGATCTCCGCAATCCTTCAGAAGCTCAAAAAGGTTTTACTCCTTTGGCTTTCATCGAATGGAGATCTGTGCATTGCTGCAGTGTGGTAATCAAGTAAATTAGCTGGAGATTTGATAATTCTGCTTCGGTTTTGGTTTGATGTGTGTAGGCAGAGGGGTCTTCGACTGAGTCTATAGCTGCTCTTGCTAAGGTTGATACTGTAAAACAGAGAATGGAAGCTGCGTACGAGACTCTACAGGTGTTTATTCTGCAAATTAACTGGAAAGAATGGGATTTCTCGATTGTTTAAGTATTTGCATGATGAATTGATTACTTTTGGCTTGATGCGTTTCATACTTTCATTGCAGGATGCAGCGGGATTAGCCCAATTAAGTTCTACAGTGGAGGATGTGTTTGCCAGTGGTGATCTTCCTCGTGCTGCAGAAACATTGGCTAATATGAGACACTGCTTGTCTGCTGTTGGCGAGGTTATTATCAAGTTCCGTTGATCTACCATCCGTGTTTTACGGATTCATGTTGCTGATAGTGCTAACTCAGTTGCTCATTCTCTTATCTACTCTCTCTGCAATAGGTTGCTGAATTTGCTAATGTGAGAAAGCAACTTGAGGTCTTAGAGGATAGGCTTGATTCGATGGTGCAGCCTCGTCTAACAGATGCATTATCGAACCGCAAGGTTATCCATGATCCCAAAGAACTTGCATGTCTTGGCTTCCAGTCTACATATGTGATTAGGGTGTTTACTCACACTGCCTGCTGTTAGTATAGGTTGAAGTTGCACAAGAGTTGCGCGGAATTCTGATGAGAATTGGCAGATTCAAGTCTCTCGAGGTGCATTATTCTAAAGTTCATTTGAAGCCAATCAAGCAGATGTGGGAGGATTTTGATGCTAGGAAGCTAGCTACTAAGCATGCAAATGGCAGGAATGAGTTCGGAAGGACTGCAGGCAACACTGATTTGCCAACAGTTCCTTTTTCAAGTTGGTTGCCGAGCTTCTATGATGAACTGCTGATGTATCTTGAACAAGAATGGAAGTGGTATATTCTTCTTCTCCCTTAATTTCAACCTTAGTTGGTTTCTCTAAACGGAAAAATTCTAGCCTCCGACTATTATAAGCTGTGACGGCCATTTAGAACAGAGTAGAAGACTTATGCTAGTTTATCTTATTAAACACAGCTGGCAGCCTTCCTAGTAATGAAAGAACAATGACTTTCTAAGTAGACTAAATGGTATATTTTTCATGCTCAAACATGGAGAAAAAAATTATAAAAAGTTTGATTCGCCATCTGGGAATTAACCTCAGATTGCCGAAAGCCTTGGCCTTCAATGAATTTCATTGCACTGGAGACATACAATTTGATAGACATTCTCAGTTCACTGCTGTATTGTTGGGCCTTTTGCTATTTTTATAATAAATTGCCTCCGGTAGTAAACATCAGAAGCCAGTGCATTATGTCTACCTACGTGCTTTTTATACTAGTTCTACCTCAGTGTTCGAACTAGATACTAAAATTACAGTTATAGGTGCATGGTTGCTTTCCCTGATGATTATAAGGTGCTGGTACCAAAGCTACTGGTTGAAACAATAGCAGCTGTGGGAGCAAGTTTTGTCTCTCGACTTGACCTTGCCACTGGAGAAGTCGTTCCTGAAACTAAAGCACTTTCAAAAGGTCCATCCAATCATCTTCATTTCATATATTCTTATGTTTTTCGATCAATCCAATTGCTAGTTTACTAGATATATAGTGGTTGCATAAGACGGTTGTTGATCCTTAAATCTAAACTGAGCTATTACTCAATTCCCCAATAGAAGCAAGATAGTTATGTGTTTTTAGATGCTTCTTTTTCTTATTTTACTCGCCTGTTGAAGCTCATATCTCCATTTACGAATTCAGGCATACTGGATATTTTGTCGGGAGATATGCCAAAGGGCATCAAGCTTCAGACTAAGCACCTCAAAGCACTAATCGAATTGCACAATACTACTGGTACTTTTGCAAGGAATATCCAACACTTGTTTTCAGAATCTGATCTTCGAGTTCTCATGGATACGCTGAAGGCTGTTTACCTGCCCTATGAAGCATACAAACAGAGGTGAGCTATCGTTAACTTAAATGAACAGGTCTCCACTATGTTCAATACTTCTCGGGTTTACTTTTGATCACAAGAGACCTGTGATTCTCTAGTTCAATGAACTTCTTGTATTCCTCATTAGCTCCATAAAGTGGGTGATTATCTCAATTGGTTTTTACCTATTAAAATTATATGCTTGTAGGTATGGACAGATGGAGCGTGCCATCTTGTCCTCCGAGATTGCTGGGGTTGATCTAAGAGGAGCAGTTACTCGTGGTGTGGGAGCCCAAGGAATTGAACTGAGTGAAACAGTTCGAAGGATGGAAGAGTCTATCCCACAAGTAATTGTTCTTCTAGAAGCTTCTGTTGAGAGATGCCTCAGCTTCACTGGTGGGTCCGAGGTGGATGAGCTGCTTCTTGCACTTGATTATATAATGCTCCAGTACATCTCTTCTCTCCAAGAAACCCTCAGATCATTAAGGGCTGTCTATGGAGTGGATAATGATTCTATTGATCCCAAGGATGGGAGTCAAAGCATACGGAAAGCTGACTCGTCCTCAAACGAAGAGGAATGGTCAATTGTCCAGGGGGCCCTTCAAATACTCACTGTTGCAGACTGTTTGACAAGCAGATCCTCTGTGTTTGAAGCATCCTTGAGAGCTGCTCTAGCTAGAGTAAGCACTAGTCTGTCATTTTCTGTGTTTGGATCAAGTTTGGACCAGAACTATTCGCATGGAGGAAATACTGATGGCGATGGACAGCCTTCCTTGGGTGGAAGAGCTGCTTTGGATGTTGCAACTATACGTCTCGTCGATGTTCCAGAGAAGGCTCGCAAACTATTTAACCTATTGGATCAGGTACACGAGTTTACCTGTGTTTGGATCACTTTTAAACCCCAACTTTCCCTGAAGTTATTTTTTTCAGCAAAAAAAAAACATTGTTCCGTCCTTTTCATTATCATCTGCTCTCCTTCTCGCTGATTCCTAAATAATCATTCGCATGAATTGCAGTCAAAAGACCCGAGATTTCACGCTCTTCCTCACGCATCACAGAGAGTTGCGGGATTCGCTGATACAGTTAATGAACTTGTGTATGATGTCCTCATATCCAAGGTAAGGCAACGCCTTAGTGACGTATCGCGTTTGCCCATCTGGGTGGCGGTCGAAGAGCAGAGCGCTTTCCATCTTCCGACTTTCAGTGCCTACCCACAAGCCTACATTACCAGCATAGGGGAATATCTTCTTACTTTACCCCAGCAGTTGGAGCCACTTGCCGAGGGCATATCGAATAGTGATTCCATCAATGACGAAGCCCAGTGCTTTGCAGCTGAATGGATGTTCAAGGTACGCAATAGCCGAACTATTCTGGTTAATGGGAAATCTCAATGGAAAAAATCAATGTTCATTCGTTTTTGTTTCTTGGTCCGCAGGTTGCAGAGGGAGCCACTGCTCTTTACATGGACCAGTTGAGGGGAATTCAGCATGTAACTGACAAGGGAGCTCAGCAGCTGTCAGTCGATATTGAGTACTTGAGCAACGTGCTTTCAGCCCTGTCGATGGAGGTTCCCCCTGCTCTCGCAACGTTTCAAACATGTCTCTCGACGCCGAGGGACCAACTGAGGAACCTTGTGAAATCTGAGACCCAACTCGACTTCCCCACAGCAAACCTTGTATGTAAGATTCGGCGTGTCAGCTTAGATTAGAACAAAGAAGTTGTTACGCTACAACTTACGAGTATATAAATTCGTACAACATATTCAGATTCTCGTTGCAACCTTATTTGTATTTTGCAAAGTTTTCTTGTTTTGATAAAGTTTTGTGACGATTTTGTAAGCATCGCAACATTAGCGAATTGCTGCAGATGGAAAGAGACGATTGCTAGTCCAATATTCTAAAATTTCACTTTTTACTTAGTAGCAGTAAATTACCCTTCCATGCATCGTTGACACACATCAAGAATCCATTGACCGTGTTCATGTTGCAGCACAGCCATAGCAAAAATGGGCATGCACAAAAACATTGTATTGATGGCCAAAACAAACAACCGAATTTATTAGGGTTCTGAAATCACACTTATGCTACAGAAGTTAGGATCAATCAGCCATAGTCATCTTCCAATTACCACCTTGGTTATTTGGCATGAGATAGAGGCAATGCCTTGTAACCAACCATCAGCAACTCTTTCATCCCGCTTTTCACCCAAACACTTTAACCTTCCTGCAAGCTAGAATACAAATACAGCCATTCTGCAGACATATCATGGGTGCATTGAAGTTTTACCTCTCACAATTCCACACCGGTGCTAGTCCTTAAGCTGATTTAACCTTTTGGTACCACCGAAGTAGATTTCCAAGGATGTTGAAACCAATACCATAGAATTAACAGTTGTTCCAAGGCAGAGCTATAAAAGGTTGAAATGAAACTTAACCCAACTAAGAGAAAGTAGTTACCCCATAACCAGCTCACTCTTGGACCTTAAGCCATTGAGATTCTTGTGGTGTTGAAACAAGCAAATTGCAAGAAGCCATTTTACACCTATTACCATCCAGAAAACCTATGTTTAACCAGGCTTAACAGTCACTAATATGTGATCATGAACTTGCTGTGAAATGACTTTAGACTTGCATTAACAAGGGGCATTTGAGATTTCTGGAAACGAACTAGCAGTTCAGAATTATGTTACCTCCACACTAGTTGAGTTGACACACAAATCCATGATATGTGTACCAAGAAAATTCGCTTTCATGGTCATGAACGAATGGTGACATTAATATGTTACCTTTCAGCTAAGACAGCAGTTCAGAATTATGTTACCTCCACACTAGTTGAGTTGACACACAAATCCATGATATGTGTACCAAGAAAATTCGCTTTCATGGTCATGAACGAATGGTGACATTAATATGTTACCTTTCAGCTAAGACATGTATAAAATATATCATGATGGTATAGCAGCACTGGCATTCTGTAACATAATATCGCGAGTTCTCAAATCCATCAGAATCGAAACAGATCTGTCATCAAAAGACCCAGTAAAGAGAAAGGAAGGAGAATACCTCTAACATCGATGTTCCCATATAGCATAAAGTTCATCCAAGCTTCAAGTAAACACACGAGTTGCACAAATTTCAAGTTATACCTACCTCAACCAATCTCTCCTCTTAAGAGTACTGATGAAAGTGGGGTACAGTCTCATCAAAGCTGTGAGATAGAAAGAGAAAATTTTGACATCCAAGATGATGATTTAGCTTTAGGACTCCAAAAGCACTTGCTCAGAAGACTTTTGAGATTGAATTTGTCTACCTCATGGGATATATAAAAGCTCAGACATCCATCTACCGAACCCACTAATAAGGGCGAACAGGGCTTCTTGAGGACCTCCTTCTATTACTGTGCCTCCCAGGGGACCGTGACCGACTTCGATCATAGTACCTATCCCTTCCATTCCTGGAACCCTTTCCACCATCCCGATGTCTACCATTCCTTTCCCTCGACCTTTCATTGTCACGGTATCTGTCCCGCTCCCTATCCCTGTCTCGGTCCTGATAACGATCCCTTTCACCTGATACACTCCTTCGACTCCTGTCAGGATCCTTCTCTGATTGCTTCCTTCGTTCTTCAGTTTCTTTCTCCCTTGCTAATCGTTCCTCTTCCTTCGCCTTTTCCCTAGCTTCCTGAAGTGTGCATTCCAAAGTTCCATATTAAAAACTAAAACTAGTGAAAAATGATGATGATTATGTATGTGGCCATTGGAAAAAGTTGTCACTTTACCTTGTACTCACTGATGAAATCACGAACTAAGCCATAGCCCAGATGTTGCTTCCCGGTTACATGAGACTGTGTCCTCTCTGCAGCATCATTTGCAACGAGAAAAGATCCACAGGTCTCACACAAGGACATTTTTTTCTCAGGAAGGACCAGAGGTAACTTGTCACCCTGAGCTTGAATCAGTATTTTCTCAGCATTCAGTTCGTCTACCTGAGGAAAAGGACAATGCAATACATTTTCAAAAATGTGTCGAACACCTTTACATGGAAAAGGAGGTAAATGAAACATGTTGGGTAGCAAGCCATAGTCCCAAGAAACTCAAAGCATAAGATCTTGTGGCCAGTTAAATCAAAGCTCACCTTTTTCATAAGGGCTTGAGCTTCATCAACTTTCCCAGCTTCGCCAAGGGACTCCACTTGCCCCAGCAAGTTCTTTATCTTCTCTTCAATGACAGCTAATTGTTCAGACTTCTCAGCTGATAGTGGGGGAGGTGGCACAGGTTCTTCACCTTGAGCAATACGTTCGCGCCCACGTCTAACTCTTCTGTCCAAATCCATCACCTACAAACAGATCACACCAGCAGTCCCAATAAACATCGTACCACTCAATCCACAACAAGGAATAGAAACCCGGAAGTAGATAAGGTTTACCAATTTATCACACCGCTGAGCGAGCTCGGACTCAAATTTGAGCAAGAACTTGTCATGCCTAGGAGACTTCTCAAAGCTAAACTCACACATGAATCAAAACCAGTCAAATCTATCAGATCATGTCATCATACTATACAATACCAAAACAGGAAGATAGCACCATAAGACACTACAAAGACCGTAATACCATGTTACCTTTCCTTAAGCTTGGGATCGTGGACTCTCTCACATGGCCCTGCAAATGAGAAGAAGCCAAATTAGCGAAAATTTAAATAAGACCAAAGGTTTAGCAATGGCAAAAACTAGCCGAATTCCCAGTAAGCAATAAGCTATCGGACCTGCCAAGTTACAAACAGTCGATAAATTTAACCCATCGCTAGTACTAAACCTGAACCCAGGCAAGAAACTCAAGCAAGAAAAAGAAAAGCATGAAACCAGAAACTCACCGAGATCGCTCTTGGTGTTGACAAAGAGGTCATGAGGACAGAATCGCGCCATGTAATACGGGCAAACCTCCTTAGAATCCCATGTAATTTCCTTGTAATCCTTCCTTTCGTCCTCCGTCAAATTACGATCTAACAAGAGAAATGCAAATCCAATCAGCTCGAAAGAAGGAACGTATCCAGCAACCCACTCACAATCAACCGCATAAGTGCTTACCTGCGCCCATGAGCTCATCCAACATAGCTCTCTGGAGGTCCATGGCGGGGTGCAGGTATCTTTTGGCGCAAAGAGAAGGGCAATCGAAGGTCAAACGGGAGAGGGAGAGAGAGAGAGGGGGGGTTCACAGGAATGGAATTTCTAGGGTTTTGGAGTAGACTGCGGTGGTTTCACCGTCGCGGAAGGGGAAGAAGACGGTGGAGCATGTGCAGGACCGAGGACGAGGGTTGGGTTTGTGCCTCTTGGTGGATGTGGAATGTGGAATGTTGTTTGCTGCGGCCAAAAGAAAGGGGGAAAGGAGGGAGGATCCGGTGAGTCGGTGACCACGGGTTGCTTATTCACCTTGCTAAGTTCCTCACAGGCGTATATGTTTGTTGGAGTTGAAAAATGAGAGTTTTGTTCAATAAAAATCTTGGTATTTATGTTGGAATTATTTGATTATGAATTTGAAGAGTCTAATGTTTGTATGATGGATTTGAGATGGATTTGGTAAATAAATAACTAACCATCAAGGATTTGCAAATCCCAAATTAATATGTGGGCTTTACAAGTCTGTGGGGTCCACGGATTTGGTTCCAAAATAAAGACAAAATCCGTGGACCCCACGGATTTAGCACACTTCAACAAACAATGGACTTATGTTAAATCCGTCAAGCTTGGGATTTGGGTACCAAATCCATGACCCAAATCTAACAAGCAAACGACCCCTTAGTTCTTGAATTTAAGGGTCGTTTGGCAGTTGCGATAGTTTTGTTGAGATTGTCATTATGCATGTATTATTTACAATGCATCGTTTTTTTTTTAGCAGAAACAATACATGGATTGTTTCTGTGATGGGACAGAAACTATCACTCATTTTGAGTGATTGTTATATCTCAACTTTTAGTTGTGATTGTTGAGATAGTTGAGTTGAGATTGTTTTGTCTCAGTTTTTAGCTGATGCGACATACACAGTCACACATACCAAACGTTGTATTCTACAATGCATCAAATTCGACAATACATGTATAATATTATACATGCATTCTCAACAATACATCTATTTAACAATCGCAACTTCCAAACGACCCCTTAGATGGATTGATCTAATGGTGAAATTTAGAAAAAAAAAGATAATTAAATAGTAAGAGGAGCATTCATGGAATTATAAAAAATGCATTTGATTTTATTTATTTTTTTCCTCCAATCTTCATTTTTTGTGTTGCTAACCTCGGCTATGTAAGAGAGAAAAACGCAGCAGTGGGGAGAGAAGGACGGCGACAGTGAAAGAGAGGAGGGCGACGACGACGATGGAGAGAGAATGGAGATCTCGACGGCGAAGAGAGGGAAAGGAGAACGCGACAGAGGCGACAGCGTTGAAGAGAGAGAAAGTAGATCTAGTCGTTGTCGTCGGGAAAACAGAGGAGAGAGAGACGATGGTGGAGGAGAGAGAGGCGGTGCGGCGATGGAGAGAGAGAGGTGGCGACGACAGTAGAGAGAGTCGGCGGTGGCGGTGGAAAGAGCCGGCGGCGACGACGGATCTCTTGACATCGTAGTCGTCTGAGGGAAGAACAGTGATTTGTAATGCAAGTGTTGTCAGTTTGCATTATTAGTATTTTTGTACATAATGTCAGTATGATTTGTATAGTTTGTATGTTTTGTAATATTAATTTGTATACTTTATATGTATTGATTTGTGATGCAAGTCATGGCGGTTTGTATTGTAAGTACTAATACTTTGTACTCTTATTTTGTTTTGGGTACTTTGTATAATACCAATCATTACAAACCAGATGAACAAACATTACAAACTAGAAAAACAAACATTACAAAGTCAACCAGGTTATTTTTTAGGCATAAAAAACATTACAAACATGGTTGATAAAAATGACAAACATGGTGGACAATAATAACAAAGCTTACAAACATTACAAAAGAAACCGACAAATAGTACAAAGCATACTAACCATACATAATACCACTACTTACAATACAAATCGGTAAACTTGTATTACAAACCAATCAATACAAAGTATACAAATCATAACATAAAAGTATACAAATTAGACAAACAAACATTACAAATTACAATATATACAAAATAGTCATATAAACATTACAAATGTAATAGAGAAAGATGATAAACAAGAATATAAACAATACAAACAGAATTAATATAAATATTACAAAACAGACTTATAAACATTACAAAATAGGTGGACAAACATGTCGTCGAGAAATCATCGCATGCCATCTCCGGTCACCGGAAGAGCCTTCTCCGCTGTCGTCGAAAATCAATCTCTCTCTCTCTCGTGTTGGGAATGGGAATGGGAAAAAATCCCCATAAAAGTGGACCGAATGGGGAAAAAAACGTCGCCGCTAGGATGAGTTGAGGAGATGACCGTCGCCCGTCGGGAAGAATTTCCCAGAAACGCCCGGTGGGAGCGGCGACAGGTAGCTGTGGGCCCGCATTTATTTTTGTTTAATTTAATTGCTAAATAAAGAAATTGTGTATTTACTATCATGTCCTTCATAAAAAGAGATTAATCTGAGTGATTAGATTTTAATGGGGGAAGGACTGAGATTCACTTAGTCACATGACTAAGGACCCCGCCGCCCTTTAGTCACCTGATCTTAGCTCAGGGGGAAAGGCAGCATCTTGCAATTTTCCATTTGTGAACCAAGCAAAGTACGATTAGTTCATTGAATCAACTTTCTGTTTTACAATTTCATCCCTCGAGAAATTTCAATTCAAAGGGGCCGACGTCGTTCCAGACTTCCAGTCTTCTAGATTTTGACCAATCATGTTTTGTCTCGGTTTGACGTCTGATCAGACAACAAATTGGCCTACAGGAGAGCACGTTTTACGAAAACAACGTCTGGACCGCGGGTAAAATATCTCAGGTATCATTAAAATATGAGAATTTGGAAAGCTATATCATTTAAGTAAGAATAAGGCATCGCGTGTCACTAACTCTATTATATGTGCATCCGGTACCACTTAAGTTTAGTGTTAAGTGCATTTCATTAAAGTTGTCAGAATATTCTTGTAATATTCCATTTTCTAAATTCCAGGATTGATTTTTCTACTTTATTTATTGTAAACAATCATTTTGACTTATGAAAACACCATTTTTTTATTTTTTTTAGTTGGAATAAAAAATAATCCTTTGGACTTATGAATCCTCTTCTGAAGACTCTCATACCAAACCTATTTTTTAATATGAAATTTATAATTAATTATCATTATAAATATTTTTATTTATCATTATATGGTCTAATAATTGAACTATTCCCTGAAGCAAATATATTCTATGAATTCTGACTCGATATAAATAATCTGAGGATGTTATATTTTAGTTTTCTTACATCATGCTCGTGTTTATCTAATTTTCCATGTTAAATCTCTTGTAATTCTCTAATATAATATTAAAAGGTGTTCCATATTAGTTAAATTTACTGTTTGTGCCATGTGCCCGCGATTGCTATGCTCCCTTCTCGTCTACCCTCCGCCAAGTGAATTCTCGCCTCCTTCTCCGGTGCCCTCAAGGCGTCGATCTCCCTGCGCACAAAGCGTCTAGCGGACCTTGTCGGTCCGTTAGCACTCTAACGCTCAAGTTAGCACCACAATTTAGGGAGAGAAGTGATGAGAAGCTTTAGTGAGAGAAATCCAAACTGAGTAAATGAGGTTCACCTACTTCACTATTTATACCAAGAACCCGGCCGACCGTTGTCCATCATTTTCGCCCCACGTCAGCCTTGTAATAAATGTGTCGTACTCTTTCTCGCTGTGCGCCTCGACCACCTGCCTCCTCTATCAGAGGTTCAGAGCACATGACATCATGAGGTCAGCTTTTCGTACGTTTTCGCCCGCTGTGTGTCCTTTGTCTTATGCACCTCTTGTCAGGTGCCTGGCCCCACCTGATCAACATGCCACCTGACTTCTTGGGTCGCGCTTTGTGTGCGTTTGGGCCCACGCCAGCTCCCTTGTGGATCTCCTTGGGCCCTCTCCGTTGGACCCTTGGGTCTCCATAGGGCTCGTGCCTGTCTCTCTCTTGGGTCCTTTTTCTTTGGGTCATGCCTATGCCCCCAACATTAACTAATTATAATTCTCTTCCTATAGTCTTATTTTCTTTTCTAGATTCGTTACTGAATGTTGTAGCTTTTATAGTTTACTTATAGCTTGGTTAGTTTCTCTCTATTTTTGTTCTAAATTCTTTTCAATTATTGGAATATGTTTAATTCTTTCTTATTGTGTTCCATTTATTATTCTTTGGTCTTGATTTATTCGTGGTCGATTTGTATCTATTTTATCTATTTTTAGTGGTGATTCTAATTGGATTAGAGGTTTAAATATATCTTCTAATATTGATTTTACATATTTATTATTATTATCTTTTAGCATATTTATTATCCCTTCTAGATATTCGTTTATTATTTTTACTAATTTATCTATTCTATTGAAAAAATTTCATTACTCATTCTACTAATATTATGTTTAGAAGGTTTCTAATTTTATATTAGATAATATTTGTTAAAAATATGGTTTTGGTTGTTTTTGAACGTTTTGGGTAGCAAAAAGTAATTAAAAGTTCGGGTTGGATGGAAAACTTGACGAATGCACTTTTTGACAACTTTAGTGGTACCTGACGCCCTATTCAAACTTAAGTGGGTATGTCTACCTCAATTCTCAAACTTATGTGGTACCAGAGGTATTTTACCCTCTAGCCCGCAAAGTCTTTTCACAAGATTATTGTACCATCTCAACATTTTACCGATCAAAATATTGTTCATTTTGGGTCTACCGTCTACCCGTGCGAGGTATATTTTTGTATTTTGATGATTACTCGAGAAGTTAGCTATTACTGCACTACTTCAAATTGAGCACATTGAACATCAGAGTTCTTGAAATAACTAATCACTTCAACAATGCGACATGGTGCTAAAACTGTACATAATAAAAGTTTATGATCTAGTTGACTAATTGAATGGAAATGTCTCATGTATATACTTTATTTTATGGGTTTCAATGACAAATGAAGGATCTTAGTCCAAGAGCGCGACATCATAATTTAGTTCTTGATTATATCCATTGGTCATTCGTGTGCCAGAGCAGTTTGATCACTAGGGGATCCACTAGGGGGATCCATGTCACATTTTTTTGTTTATTATTCTTACTAACTAACTCTTTTTCCTCATCCTAAAAGTGGTCGACTACGACTAGGTTGCGCTAATTGGAAATAAGCTCCATCCCCATTGCCTCAATCTCGCTTGTGTACTATTTGATAATGATACAATTGTCTTCAACAAGGGCCCTATTAACACATCTATGTATATTACTAACACCCTC